CTTGAATGATGGGATAGTAGGGATGTAACGATATATCGAATATCGCGATATCACGGTAAATAAAAGTCTCGATTTTTTTTTACTTGAAAAACTAAAGTGAAACTTGATTTATTCTATTGCAGGGTCTGATTATTATATTGTTGACACTTTAAAATACTACTATCCTACTAAAATGCTTTACAAATCCGATTTATTATTTAATAAAGAAAACAAAAATTCACATTGTTTTTCTTTATTTTTCAATATCGCGATAAATATCGTACTGTGGACTTTTTAATCGCGATATTATCGTACCGTGAGTTTTTGGTATGGTTACATCCCTATGGGATATAGACTAAAAGCTTTGGGAATCCAAACTATAACATATATTAAGTACCCTGTATCAAGATTGATGCAAAACAAGTGACATTTGACCTTTTTAGAGAGGTTTAGCAAAGAAAAACCCACCTCTGGGGTCATTTGGGTGGAAATGGGTGTATTTGCCGTTTCTCTGGAACCCATTGGTCAATTTTGATGATTGACATCTCTTTTGAACCGTTAGAGCCAGTAGAATCGAAGGGGAATTTCCACATACACACATATATGTTACCATTGAGAAATGAGAGCTATGCGAACACAGTTTGCCCAAAGCGAAACCTATTTTACGCTCTGAAATCTGAAAACTGAAAACTAGATTTATTGCTGATGGATTATCGAAGACAACTTTTGATCAGAAAACAATAAAGGTAAGACATATTGCCGTGTTGGCTACCTAATGCTACGTGGTGTGATGTCTTCGCTTCTCGAGTCGTGAGTTCGGATCGGTCAGTAATGATACTAATACCTGTCGAATCTGTGCAATCTCAGCTTGCTAATCGATATCTTGTTTGTTGCAGATATGATGAGTAATAAGGGTATTTTAGCGTGAGTTCTGTGCTAAGTGTGTTAGCTCAGGGCTAATTCAGAGCCTTTGTTATTACCCTTATGTTTCGTTTTGCTAAAAATTGTTAATATTGTCTGATAGCTGCGTTTCTTCCCGTTAAGTGGGTATGACACATTAATAGGTTTTTAAATGTTAAGAAGCCCGCCCGTGGGGGAATGGCGCTTAACAGGGTAACCTACTTCCAAGGTGCATGGAGAAGGTAAAGAAATCTAAAGAGGTCCAGCAATATACATTTTGACCTATTTAATATAATAAAGAAGTAAAGCAGTATTAAGCATTAACCTGTTAAGCCCGAGAGACCCCGGTACCGGGGCAGCGGTTTTTCTTTTCACGAAACTGTGTCTCAGGGCTTCTTAACATGTAAAAACCTATGAATGTCTTATACTCAAATAACGGGAAAAAACTCAGCTACCTGACGATATGAGCCACTTTTACCGAAACAAAACACAAGTCTCACAAGAAGCGTTAGCATTAGCCCTCAGTGAAAACGGGCTGATGTTACTTCCGGTGCTAACTAGCACAAATAATCTTTAAAACTTAATATGTTCTGCACAAACTACATATCTTCTGAAAGCTGATACTCCACAGATTATTTTGACATAAGTATCATCATTGCATGACACAAACTCACTGAGCTAGCAGCCAGAACAGAGCAAGAAAACAACAACACTTTTCTAAATCATAACAATAATGATGTCTTACCGTTGCTGTTCAAGGGAATAAAAACGCTAATTATGTTTTACAGTTGCTGTTCAAGGGAATAAAAACACTGCTCAAGGTTAATCCAATGTCTCTTAGTCACTTTAGAATTTTTCCTGATAATCCATCATTACATTCAATGCAGCAGAGTAGGTATAAAATGTTGCAGTCCGGGCTACTGCTGTCTCACGTGCTGTTTAAGCAAACCTCTCTCTCCTTGACGTAAGTGTTTAGCGGGACTTACTAACTCCCCCTCGATTCTATTGGCTCTAACGTTTCAAAAAAGGTGTCAACCCCCAAAATCGACCAATGGGTTCCAGAGATAGGATCCTGCGTAGTATAAATAATGCTAGCAGCGGCAGCTTTACGCACATAACGCAGCAGAGGAACCACAGCTGCACCTCCACCGCACAGCAGCAAAACACTGATGAACACAGCGAAAAGAGAACACAGAGACAACAGCAGGCAACAGAACATAATATAATATAAGGACAAGGACAAGGATGTATTTGCTTTTAGGACTTATTCGAGCAAATAATGGCACCCAGAAAGAGGCTGTATAAGTTCGCTGACTCTCCGTCAGAAGATGAGGATCTACTTCGGCCACAATCAGACCCTGATTACATATGAAATGCTCTTTCAGAAAGCTCTTGCGTTGATCAAGCAGCATTCCCCTGAAGCTGTTACACTTTCTGAGGGGGTGTGGTTTTTTGTGAATGGGGCATAGCTTGTCTGGATCCTCATGAGGCTTGTTTTTAGAGTCAGGGGAGGAGTAGTTCCCTACTTCAGTTTTATTGACTGAATTGCTGTTCTGAGTCCTCCACTGCTTTGCTGTGGGGTGCTCACTTTTGAGAGGTTGAGCGCTGGAGTTTTGGAAAGCAAAGATAATTTCTCATCTCCGCATGGCTTTGCACAAAATTAACAAAGAAGGAGAAAGGTGGGTAATGAACCTGATGTTCTTTTTTATATGTTGAACCTTGAATTATCCATTGGTCCTGGAGGTTATATGGGAGTTTCTCCACAATGGGTGTAACACCTCTAGATGTGTCAAGGAAGCTGAGTCCTGGTAGGTAACCCTCACATTTAGCAGCTTCGACTTCGAGGAGCAGATCTGCGAGTTCCTGCAGCCGCTGAAAGTCCTTGTTCAGGATTTTCGGAAAGTTTTCAAGCCTTGTGAAGAGAGACGCTTCGATGGCCTCTGGAGAGCCGTAACTCTTATCCAACCGTTGCCACACCATGTTAAGACCAGTCATAGGATAGTTGATGTTGACAGCACGATGTCTTTTAACGAGCTGCAGTGACTTCCCGTCGAGCCACCTTGTGAGCAAGTCTAGCTCCTCACTAGGTTTCAAGTTCAAGCCCTCTATGGCATTGCAGAAGCCGGCTTTCCAGGACAGATAATTTTCTGGCTTGTTATCAAACATCTTTAGCCCTGATAAGACGATGTCCCGACGTGCCAAGTATGTGGCGAGGTCCGAAATCTCCGAAGGTCTGGGTGTTGTTACATGTGAGGGTGTACTGCCTCTAGGGTAGTTGTATGCAGCGTTAGTGTAATGTGATGGGGAGTGATTCAAAGCGTTGATGTGGGTTTGAGAGGCCAATGGGATCTGGGGCCCTTGTTGATATAAGCTCAGAGGAGCCTGGTGATAGGGCTCTGGATGATGTTGGGGGCCTCTGTATGTTGAGGTCGTGCTTGCAGTGAAGAAAGAGCTGCTTGCTGTTCTTTGTGATTTGTCTGATGACCCATTTCGTAATTTTCTTGTTTGTTGATTGTTGTAATGTGCATTGACGTACTCACTGGTGCGTTGCATAGATTGTTGAGCCGATGAGAAGTGGCTAGATTTCTTTTGATGTTCTTTAAATTCAATGTCTACAGCTGCTTCAAGCACGTTTGCTGCTGCTGATGCAGCTTCAGCCTCACCCTCTTCTTTAAGAGCATGAAGCATAGCATCAATGCGTGCTTTCTCTACTTCCATGTCCACTTGACATTTTGCATAAGCTGCCTTCGTACGCGCAGCTTCAGCCTTTGCACGTGCCTCTGCTGCCAGCATGTTAATACCCAACCAACTGGAGCATTGTGATGAAGAAGTGTTGCTTTGTGATCTAACCTCCATGTTGTGTTGCTCAGTGAGATCTGGGGCGTTCAACATCGTTGCTCTCAGCAGTAATGCAGGGTTTCTAGTCCACGGGATGATCTTGAGGTGAAGTTAATCTTTTCACTCTTCTGCCCTCACCACGCGTGTAGATGCATGGCTATGCAGCGAGCTAAACACTCTCCCAAAAATGACCGAGACAGGAGCTGACGTTTGGTATTTTAATAGGAGCGGTGTGAAACTGAAATGATACAAACAAAGACATGTATAAATATCTAACAACAACAAAATACGATGTACTTTTCCCCAAAAATAAACCAAATGCACTCCAACATCCAATAAGGGACAATTACTACTCATGCAGCAATTACATACATGGCTTAACTACATATGCTGAATTTAGATAAATGTTACATGAGATGCAAAAATATAAGTAGCAAATGTTATACAAAATGTTTCCCGAAACAAATGTTCTCACAGATTATGCCTTCTCAAGGGGGAAAATAACCGGATGGAGACAGATAGAGTCAGGAACCTGCTCCCCATGCGGCTCTCAAACAAAATGGCAGAACGTTAACCCAACACAGACGTTTTACTAGGAACGCACTTGCCTGTTCCTAGAGGCCACTAAGAATATAGCAGTCAAGGAAATAGATGTCAGGCATTAGAATGACAGAACAGTGCAGCTAGTTTGAATGACTTTGTATACTGCAGGTTAGCTTGTGAATTTACTCCAGGTATAACTAAAGTCTGATTTAAGAATTGATGATTATATTTCACATCATTAATCCAAATCTGTAAAGTAACTAAAGGTATTAAACACATGTAGTGGAGTAAAAGTACACCATTTACCTCTGAATTGTAGTGGAGGAGAAGTACAAAGTTGCGGAGCATTGAAATAAAGTACAGGTCCCTCAAAATTGTACTTAATTACTGTACTTGATTAAATGTAGCTTGTGCCAGTTCCTCACTTTCCTTGACTTTCACTGCCATGCAATTCGTGGTCAAATACCCGCTGGAATTACGAAGGAAGTTTGGGTGAAACTTGGTAATATGATTATTTTGTTGTTAATTTTCTGACACGTTAAGGTTTACAGATTATTCGGAAACATTCACAACAACACAAATTAAAACCAACATGTATCATTATGATGGATTTGATTGAAATGCTTGCATTATAAAGTGTGTGTGTTTATGTATTTGTCTCCAGGGTTACTAGTTCATCTCTCAGAATGGAGACCATGAGAGATTTGGATGATGATGAGGAGGAGGAGGAGGAGGAGGAGGAGGAGGAGGAGGACACATCTTCAGTGTCCAGAAAACCTCCAGGTTTGAGTAATACACTTGGACCCTCTGACACAAAGTAAGAATCTGTTTCTGCTGTAAACTGACCTGAAGAGGAGTCTGGTTTGATCTGAGTAGCAGGTCACAGTATATACACACAGTAAAGCATCACTGTGGAGTACAGTCATGAAACAAAGTACATTAGAGTAAAGAAACCAGAAGAGGAAAGTGAAGAGGTGTAACTGAGCTCTGGCTGTGCTCCTTGGCATCATCAGCAACAGTCAATAATCTACTATTGTGAAATCATTCTCACATTCCAGATGTAGGACTTTGTGTTAGGTTAAGTAAATCAACTTCGAACATGTAACACTTTTCCCTCTCACAAATGAATTCTAACAACCGAAACCCTCAAACACGACTTAAAAACTGAAAGTTCAGAGCAACTCCAAAAATCTTTAATAACGTAAACGGGCTGAAATCAAAAGCTGCCCTTTACAAGAACTAATGATGTGTGTTAAACATGTTGTTGCTTCCACAGACAGAGAGCAGAGTCTCCAGTCCCCAGCTGTCTGTCTATGAAGAGTGACCGGTCTAAAGATGAACCTTTGTACTTCAGCAAAGATCCTGGACCCTCAGACACAAAGTAAGAGTCTGTTTCTACTGTAAACTGACCGGAAGAGGATTCAGTTTTTATGCCATGTGATCATCTAAAGTGTTCTCTAAATGATGACATTTTACAGAACAGAAACACAGTTTGGTCAATTACAGTAAATTCAAACATGTAAGATTTTTCTCTGTTACAAATTCATTGTAATGACAGAAATCTGTGACGGCCGCACATTGATTTAAGGTGTTTCTTCTAAACTGTAGTGGCAGGGGAAAAGGTTTAAGGCATGTTGTTTATCATGAAATGAACTATCTACGATACATGTATAATATCCTCCAACTGCCGTTGTTAATGTCCACTGGTATGTACGGTTTGAGGGTGTGGGTCTGCAAGCCTCATCTGCACATTCACCTGTCGCGGCGCGCCCAGAGGCTTTTTAGTGGGCGCGTGACCGGGAGGCCAGGGGTTGGGTATCACGGGAGGAGGAAGTGTGTGTGTGGCGAATGCGGGTATTCAGCGGGATATTTAAGTTTCCTCAGCATGTATACATATGTTAAAATGCAACGGGAAATATAACTGAAAGTGGATATTGCATCGACCGACCTGGAAGCACGTCTCCGTGGAGAGGACGCGCACATATAGAGAGAGATTCTCTCCAACACAGGGTGAGATCGCTCCTTTGTGCCACGCCGATCATCGTGTTTCCTTTTTTGTGGATTATAGCCTAAATAGGCCTACAAACATTTCCTTTTTTTGCAGCCGACGGGCGCAGGAGCAACAGCCTTTTTGTCAATGAACTATAGTGGCCTGGATTAGGCAATAATGACAATTTCGGTTTATTGCCGAGCGGACTTTTTGTTGAGTTTTGTTTGTGTTTTGCTTGGCTGGAAAACTGTCAATATAATTGAATAACGTATAAAACCGTCTTTGTTTATGTTGTGAATGTGTGGATGGAGACAGTAGTAGATACACTTTTTGTGGAAAGAGTAGATTGTCCGTTTATCAGTTCTGTTTTGCCTTTATAATATTATTTCATATCAAGAACCCCTTGTGCGTTTATTTAACACAGCTATTTTTGATAGTTGATCGTTACAAACCCTCAAGCATGACTCGAAAACAGAAAGTTGGGAGCAAGTCCAAAAACCTTTAATCGGGTAAACGGGCTGAAATCAAGCGCTGTTTTTTATTACAAGAACTAATGATGTGTGTAAAACATTTGTTGTTTCCACAGACAGAGAGCAGAGTCTCCAGTCCCCAGCTGTCTGTCTATGAAGAGTGACGGGTCCATATGTGAACCTATATACTTCAGTAATGAACCTGGACCCTCAGACACAGAGTAAGAGTCTGTTTCTACTGTAAACTGACCGGAAGAGGATTCATTTTATATGCCAACAGATAATATACACTGGTCTTTAATATTTACATCAGTGCAGTAAATAACAGCACAGAAACACAGAAAAACACAGTAAATAAATACAGAAAAGTACAGTAAAGACATGTGATTGAACGTTGTGCTCCTTTGCATCAACAGCAATAGTAAATAAACTACTATAGAGAAATTATTCTCACACACAATACGTAAGAATTTGTGTTTTGTTAAGTAAATGAACTTCAAACATGTAAAACGTTTCAATCTCACAAATAAATTGTAACAACAGAAACCCACAAACACAATTTTAAAACTCGAAAATTCAGAGTTAGACCCAAAATCTTGAATCGTGTAAACAAAATCAAAACTGAAATCAAACGCTACTTTTTACAAGAACTAATGATGTGTGGTAATCTATTTGTCGCTTCTACAGACAGAGAGCAGAGTCTCCAGTCCCCAGCTGTCTGTCTATGAAGAGTGACCGGTCCAAAAGAGAACCTATATACTTCAGTAATGAACCTGGACCCTCAGACACAAAGTAAGAGTCTGTTTCTACTGTGAACTGACCGGAAGAGGATTCAGTTTTTATGCCATGTGATCATCTAAACCAGTGGTTCCCAACCTGGGGGGCACGCGCCCCCCTTGGGGGGGGCGCCAAAGACCGCAGGGGGGGCGCCAAACCTCAGATGATTTGAGGCCAAATATCACATTTAGACTTTTTATTTTATTTTATTTTTTTACATATTATAACGCAATTATAAAAAATAATTGATTAATTAATTTGAATAACAATTCAAGTTAGTGTATTAAAGGCATAAAAAGACAGAAATGTATAATTCTTTCTATAGAAATGTTTCTTCTGCGCGTAAAGTGTCCAAACCGGGCTTTTCTGGATAAGCGCATTTTTAAAACATAGTCATTGTCCATGCCGGTTTTCAGTTGGATTATTTGTCACAGTTGCTCCGATCAGATCGGTCTCCTCCATTTTGTAGATTATTTATGACTTTTGAATCCACATAAACACATCGGCAAAGTCCGGCTTACTTTGAGCATGTGTTTTAGACAGTTTAATCCCTCTGTGAATTGTTTCCACTTCCGCCGTCCTTTAATTTCTTCATACAGCGGGAATCCAAATTAATTAATCCTGAGTCCAATAACCATCAAAGTCAATCCAATAGTGCTCCTTAATTACGCTTCATCCTCCTCTTACAAAATATTTCACATTCATCCAGTTTGTGACTGTAGTTGTAGCATTTTGAGACTTTTAAACTTTAATTACCGCTGTTGTCATTTTTGGGAAAAAAGGTTGGGAACCACTGATCTAAAGTGTTCTCTAAATAATGACATTTTACAGAACAGAAACACAGTTTGGTCAATTACAGTAAATTCTAACATGTAAGATGTTTCACTGTTACAAATGAATTGTAATGACAGAAACCCTCAAGCATGACTTCGAAAACAGAAAGTTGGGAGCAAGTCCAAAAAACCTTTAATCGGGTAAAAGGGCTGAAATCAAACGCTGTTTTTTATTACAAGAACTAATGATGTGTGTAACAAATGTCTTGTTTCCACAGACAGAGAGCAGAGTCTCCAGTCCCCAGCTGTCTGTCTATGAAGAGTGACCGGTCCAAAAGAGAACCTATATACTTCAGTAATGAACCTGGACCCTCTGACACAAAGTAAGAGTCTGTTTCTACTGTAAACTGACCCGACAAGGATTCATTTGCCTTCATTTGCCAACAGATAATATACACTGGTCTTTAATATTTACATCAGTGCAGTAAATGACAGCACAGAAACACAGTAAAACACAGTAAATAAATACAGAAAAGTACAGTAAACACGTGATTGAACGTTGTGCTCCTTTGCATCAACAGCAATAGTAAATAAACTACTATAGTGAAATCATTCTCACACCGGATACGTAAGAATTTGTGTTTTGTTAAGTAAATGAACTCCAAGCATGTAAAACGTTTCAATCTCACGAATAAATTGTAACAACAGAAACCCATAAACACAATTTTAAAAACTCAGAATTTGACCAAAAATCTTGAATCGTTTAAACAAAATCAAAACTGAAATCAAACGCTACTTTTTACAAGAGCTAGTAATGTGTGTTCCAATCAAATCAAGTTTTATTTATATAGCACATTTATAAACGATTTTTGGTCGAGCCAAAGTGCTGTACATATAATAAAATTAGCCTACAGTGGAGACACTTTACAGCAAATACAACAGCACAGATTGTTCAGAATATCAGTATGAGAAATAAAAACGACACCCTCTGTCCTTAGACCCTCTGTCCTTAGACCCTCACATCGTACAAGGAAAGACTTCCAGAGAAAAACCCACGGTTTAAGGGGAAAAAAATGGGAGAAACCTCAGGGAGAGCAACAGGACGGACAGACGTGCAATAGATGCCGTGTGTAAATCGAAGAGATAATACATTTTACAGCATTATAGACCGAAATGTTAGGAAATGCCTGTGTCTGTAATAAGAAGATGAATCCACGAGGATGTCAGCTACAATCCTGTGGAAGCCATCAGGGAAGCAGCATGACGAGACCCAAGGCAGGACCGCAGAGACAGGTTCAGCCACGACCCGAACGTCCACGACTTAATCCAGAACTCAGGATAGAGGATCCAAGACACAGGACTACAGCAAGAGGATCAGCCTCGACTCCGGATCCCGGCGTAGATATAGATACAAAACAAGAAAAAAGATTTGGCTGGGTTAATCGGAACAAGAGAATACACAGGAACACAGACAGAGAGGGAAAAGGTCATTGGATCAAAGTTATTCTTGATAACCCTCTCGAAAGATCTCATGAACTTCCCCACTCAATCTATCAAGACCCGAGCAGTTCTATTAGAAGTCCAAGGTAAAGGCACAGGCCGGCGCATACCGCTCATGGAATCCCTCACCATATGAACTCTGACCCCTCAAGTGTACAAGTGAAGAGACACCATGTGTCAGCTCCTTTTTAGAATAGTATTTCTTCTCTTCTCAGAGAAACAAGGGTATGGACAGATTGCTTGTGTTTCCGCGAAAATACTTATGGCAAACGAGCATTGACCACT